CAGCCCAGCTCCCGGCCGCCTCCGGGCGCCGTCTCTCCAGGCCCGGAGGCTGCAGCGAGGACCGCAGGGCTCGTGCCGCGTCCCCGGACCAGGAACGCGCGTGGTGCGCCCTGCGGGACGCGCGGCGGCAGCAGCAGGACCCGCTGTCGGTCTTCTCCATGGATTCCCCAGGCCTGGCTACCCCGGTGGTCCTAGTTAACGGTCCCTGCGCGGTCTCGCCGCACTGCCTGCGCGCATCCTCGCTCGGGGTGTGGATGAGCATCCACCCCGTTGTCCCGCTGTGGCGGAGCGTGGGAAGGACCAGGCCTCCGCCAAGGCTGCCCGTGCCACCTGCTCCGCCCAGATTGCGCTGTGCCTTTCCCGCACGCACACACCCCACCCACTACCTCAACCTGAAGATCGTTTCATCCCCAGATCTTTTTTTTTTTTTTTTCTCCCTTTCCATCTGCTCTATTGCCACCTCCCTCAAGTCCCAACCTCCAAACAGTGCCTTTTGCAACCTCTCTCTCCTTATCTCCCCGATGTTTGGCTCCCTCCTCCCTCCAAACGACTCGCCTTTACACCTCCTCCAACTCACCACTTCTCAGATTGTTGACTAGCCTCCTTCCTCTCTCTTTCCCTCTTTTAAAATCTACTTTTCCTTTCCATTTCCCTGTTAATTATAAGGACCTTTCCTCTAAACAAACTCGGTTTTCCTTTCGGTTGAGACTTTCTGAGTGCCGTTTCTCATGAATTCATAGTAAAGTATGCAGGGGTGGGCAAAATGAGGCTCACAGTTGTAATGCAAGTAAATGCAATAATTAATAAGTAATAATATAAAAATGAACTCTGCGTTTCATGTACTCCTAACTGGAAGCCTACTTTTGCCCACCTTGTATATACCTTGGTATCCACCATCAAGTCAAGGGAATGTCTTCATGATTCAAAAAAGAAAAGTTCATAAGTCACGTAAATCCACTGAACGTTTGTTCTGAAAACTTTTTTCTCATGTTCCCACAGTATCCTCTAAGAACAGAGGCTAAGGAGTCTCCCACAAAGCAGAAAGCTTCTTATGCGCTATGCTAGTATAGCACAGACCTGCAACGGAGAAGGTATAGCATTGTAGTGGAGGCTGTGGGTCCCAAGGTTCATAGGCAATAGTCACTATTGTTGATTGGGTTGCATTGAATCTTCAGAGCAAGTTGGGAAGAAATGACATCTTGATAAAATTGAGTCTTCCTATCCATAATCATGGAATATATCTGTATTTAGTTTTTCTTTGATTTCTTTCATCAGTAGCTTTCAGGTATGGTCCCAGAATTGTGCAACCATCTCTGCTGTCTAATTTCAGAACATTTTTATCCCCCCCCCCCCCCCCCCCCGCTAAAGAAACCCCATAGCCATCAAGGCACTCACTATTTCTATCTTTAACATCTGCAATCCCTCCCTCCAGCCCCTGGCAACCACTAACCTATATTCTTTCTTTACATTTCATATAAGTGCAATCATATGACATACAGTCTTTTGTGTCTGACTTTTTTTCACTTAGCATCATGTTTTCAAGGTTCATTTACTTTGTAGCATATGCCAGTATTCCATTCATTTTTATTGCTTTTCACATTGTATGAAAAGACCACATTTTTTTTTATTCAGTCATCAGTTAATTGACATTTGGATTGTTTGCATTTTTTGCTATTATGACTAATGCTGCTATGGACATTCATGTACATACTTCTGAGTGGACATGTTTTCTTTTTTATTATTGACAGTGTTACAGATGTCCCCCTTTCACCCACCAACCCAGCCCCGCCCCACCCCAGGTTCTCACCGCACTACTGTCTGTGTCCAGGGGCTATGCATACTTGCATATTTATTCTTTGGTTAATCTTTCCTGCCCGCCCCTCTCCAGCTCCTCCCATCTGAGATTTATCAGTCTGTTCCATGTACTATTTTGATCGTCAGATTCTTTTGTTAGATTCCACATATAAGTGAGATCATGTGATATCTGTCTTTCTCTGACCAGCTTATTTTACTTGGTATAATAATCTTCAGGTCCACTCATGCTGTCTCAAAGGGTAAGAAATCCTTCTCTTTTACAGCTGAATAGTATTATATTATGTAATATATCACAGTTTTTTAAAATATATTTTATTGATTTTTTACAAAGAGGAAGAGAGAGGGATAGAGAATCAGAAACATCAATGAGAGAAAAACATCGATCAGCTACTTCCTGCACACCCCCTACTGGGGATGTGCCCGCAACCAAGGTACATGCCCTTGACCAGAATCGAATCTGGGACCTTTCAGCCCAATCCACTGTGCCAAACCAGTTTCATCTGTATCATTTTTTAAAATCTACTTATCTACTGATGGTTACTTGGGTTGTTTTCCAGATTTTAGCTATTGAACATAGATGCATTTATTCTTTCTGATTGATGTTTCAGGATCCTTAGGATATATTTTGGGTTTTTTTTGTACAACATTTACAAGCTCCATGACTCTTGTATTTGACCCATTTCACAGTGTTGTTAGGTTTCAGGCAAAGGTACATAAGCTTTATGAACTCTAAAGCTTTGTACAATGTTTGTTACTACCCTTTTTTTCACTTAGTGTAAAAGAGTTGAGAACCTTCCAGATTTTGATCAGTGTTTGCCATTATTACCTAGTCCTGTATCGCCCAAAGGACCAAAGGGCAGGAGCTCAAAGGTAACTCCTGGGTGTGAATGAGATGATGCTCATTAAGCCAAACGCAAAAGCAGTTCAGATTTCAGAGTTCCCGAGGTCTAAGTGGGGGGCACTTTCACACAGTCAGTTCTGGCCTTCTCCTGATGGCTGCTCTGTGACCTAAGAAGACCACTGCCCTCTCCTTGGAGGAATAATTTCAGTGTGTATAAACGGTGTCAGAATAGTGTGTCTAAGAGGGAAAAAGCAAGAGGTGCAAATATGAATGTTTTGTTTCAAGAAAGTTTTGCTTCATGTTGACTCTGCGTTCCGCTATTAGTTAATTTTTGTGGTTGTAAGTAAGAGAAACTAAGAAAAAATGTGTGTGTGTGTGTGGGGGGGGGACTAATTGTAAAGAAATAATGATGGCTCAAAGAATCTGTGAGCAGGAATGTTTATGGGCTTTAGGAAGAGACCAGACAGAGCCAGGAACTGGATAGAAGCTGGGACTTGCTCCAACTCTGCTCCTTGTGCATGCCTGCTGTATTCTCTATCTATTTCTCTGATCCTTGTAGCAGTATCCTCAAAATATTTATATTAATGTATTTGTATTAAGTTAAAATATTTGTATTAATAACTCTTTACTGGGATTGTTCTTGAAGAGGCTAAATGACCATCATTTGAAAATGTGGTAGAAGGCTATACTTATTGAGTTGGAGGATGGGAAGTTAGATCAGCTTTTATCTATTAGCTATTCTAAATGTAAGATATTATGACTTTACAAACTTAGGCTCTCATATACATAGGATTGTCTTCTATTTTACTTTCTCACTGTTAATCATCACTTTCGTTTCTTTGTCTTACATATATCCTAGTCTTTTATCTTTTATCTGGAGTCAATCATTAGATCTTATTGGGTCTTCCTCCTCAAATCCTCCCAATAAATAATATTAGTTTTCCCCTAATAATTGTAGTTGTAGAAAAGAGAACAAAAACATGAGCTCTTTTCTTATGGTTAAATGTTAAGACAGAGTTGCATCAGGATTAAAGAATAGGCTTTGAAGTTCAAACTCTGTTCAAATCCTTTTCCCATCGCTGCTTCCTGTGTCATCTTGGAAAAATAACTCTCTAGTGCTTTTTCTCCAACTACGAAGTGGGGACCTAACATTAAACAACCTTCCTGTGTTGTTTGGTTATTAACTAGTATCCATAAAGCACTTAACGCCAACTGCAAGTGCTTAATAAAGAGTTGTTATTCATATAATAAATACAGAAGTAGTTATTAATTTTAAGTAATACATTTTAAAAAGTTTAGAGTTTACAAAACCTGTGTACCTACATTTTTTCATTTAATATTCACAAAAGTCAGGAGAGGCAAATATCCCCATTTTAGAGATGTGGACACCTAAGAAAATAGAGATAGTAACATAAATGGAATTTCTAGAGATCTCTCCTACAGGGAGTGAATACCTAGTTACTGGAAATTCTAGCAAGGCTACCCTGTTACCTATCATGATAGATGTAGCAGAGGTCCAATTTTTGGAATAGTGATTGACCTAGGTGATTTCTGAGGTCCTATACTTGGTCATTTATTCACACATACAATATCTCCTCCTCCTCCTCCTCCTCCTCCTCCTCCTCCTCCTCCTCCTCCTCTTTTTCTTCTTCTTCTTCTTCTTCTTCTTCTTCTTCTTCTTCTTCTTCTTCTTCTTCTTCTTCTTCTTCTTCTTCTTCTTCTTCTTCTTCTTCTTCTTCTAATTCTTTTTTCTAGAAACTGTTCAGGGATCTGGTGGTACAGCATAAACAAGCAAGCAAAAAAAAAAAAAAAAAGGCCAAAATCTCTGTCTAAAAATATACTAACATATAAAATACTATGTATAGGATTTGTATGTATAAAAACCCAGAAAATTTAAATATAAAAATATGTAGCTTGATTTTATTTTACACACCCTCCATCTAAGTACTCATTAACTCTCACCCTCTTTCCAGCCGTCTCCCCACATTTAAAGTATCAGGAAACTAGAACTTTCTATTTGTTTGTGTGCCACGCCCTCAAGGCTTATTGGAAGCTCAAAATCCAGCAAAGTGAGTGGGGCCTTGAAAAGTTTCTGGAGGTGGAAGGAGAGGTGGCGGAACTATGTTGCGGGGATTGTGTTTCCCAGTGGGACGCCAATTCGGGGGCACCGGTAGTGGAACGCTTTGCAGCTCGTTTCCGGCCACCTCAGCAGGAAGCGGAGACGCCAGTCGCTGGGTGTCCGGGAGCTGAGGTGGAGATCGAACTGCTGTAGCGGCGGAGGAAAGCCAGAGGACGCCGACGGCCGGCCGTGCGGCCCCGCGTTGGGTTCCCGGAGCCTGCGAAGATGTTGCTGCTCACGATGATCGCCCGGGTGGCGGACGGGCTCCCGCTGGCCGCCTCCATCCAGGAGGACGAACAGGTGAGCTCCTGGGTCCCCGCGACCCCAAGTTCTGCGCACAGGATTTCTTCTCTGGACCCTGGCGACTTCCCAGACACTCCAGTCCCCTCCGAAGTGCTTGCTCTTTTACCTTCTGGCTTTGGAGAGACTACCTGTTAGGAGACATCTGCTCTGGAGGCGGAGGTAGACTTTGTGTCCCGTGATTCTCTTAAAACGAAACGCTCCGGAGAAGGGATAGGTTCAGCTGATGGGGTTTCCCCCCAGGGGTCTGTCACGCTCGAGGGACTTTGTTAAAATTCAGGACTCAGAAGTTTGGTTGTTTTTTTGTTTTGTTTTGTTTTTGTTTTTGCTGCTACTAAGGTTGACTGACAGGCCCTGGGTTAAATCAGCTCCCAGATTCTTCAGCTCCAGCACCTGATCCTTGCCCTAGCTTGCTGATGATATCTGTTGAAAGTGGGTGAGGTAATATTGCCACATATAGGCACCTGTTTGAAGTCCAGTACAGTACCTTCTTTCAAGATTATGCCCAATCCCCACTTCCTGTAAGTCTTTCTGATGGAGTCATCACCCCTGTGTTATCTTCTTGTTAGGCGTTCTACCTTTATCTTAACTATTTTTTCTTTTCCTTTTAATAGAGCTTCCTAGCAGGCAAATGACAGGTCTTAGTCATCTTTGTGTTTATGACAGCTTTTACAACAGCAGCTTCATGCCACGAGGTGCTCAGAAATGTATTGAGTTGATTAAAAACAACAACAAACTCCAGACGTCTTGAAAAGGAGCTCCTTTGTGCCTTAGACTCACAAGGGAAACTTCTGGGGTGAAACAAATTTTCAGGGCACGGTTGGCAGGTCTCTGAGAATGAACTTTTTATAACATGTTTAAAGTGACCAGTTTTATCCTACTTTCTCACACAACCTAAGTAGAAAACTTCAAGGCCTAAAAATAAGACGGGTTGTAGAAAAAATATATATATATATATTTTTTTGCACGTATCTTTTCTTGGACTTTTTGTTCATATATTCGTGAAAAATAAATTATTAAGCACATCCAATGTGCCACTACTTATGTTAAAGATAAACCTTATTTGCTTTCAAGATTAAAGTCTACCTACAAATAATTAAATTAGATATCTTAATTGTTTCCTACTTTATCTAAAAATGGACTTGAACCTTTTATACATTAAAAGGAAAAGTATCAGTTGGTAATCCAATAATGGAGCGGATGTCAATGTCTGATAAATTCTGAAACTAATCTGAGTTCATCCAGTAGCATATTTAGGATGTGGTTCTGTATATAATATAAAAAGTAAGGGTAGTAATTGGCCAAACAATTGCATTGGTATCACTAGGACTGCTGAACAATTAGTTGTGTCAATAAAATATATTAAAAAAAGAGAAATAAAAAAAAAACAGCGCTGAACAAGATAAATATACAAATTGATAGTTCTAGTGGTCTCTGCCTAACTCCCAGGTTCACTTGTTTATTTCTTATTCATATTTAATTGTTCAGTTTACCATTTTATTCTTATTTATTTTATTTTTAAAAATATTTTATTGATTTTTTTACAGAGAGGAAGGGCACAATGCAATTTTTGGGCCTGAGGAGCAAGGCAGGGCCAGACTGGCGACTCGAGGGTGGGCAGTGCTACGCGATTTCGAACGGCGCGCTGGGCTCTTAGTGTTATTAATATTGGTCATCATGCTGTATGTTAGATCCCCGTGACTATTTATTTTATAACTGGAAGTTTGTAACTTTTAATCCCTTTCATCTGCTTTCACTTACTTCCCCCTCAACCCCCTGGCAACCACCAGTCTGTTCTCTGCATCTATGATTTTGTTTTGTTTTTTTAGATTTCACATATAAATGAGGTCATATAGTGTTTCTTTCTTTGACTCACTTAATGTAATGGCCCTCAAGGTCCATCCATGATGTCACAAATGGTAAGATTCCATTTTCTTTTTTTTTCTTTTTTTTCTTTTTTTATAGTTTATTGATTTTATATAGAGAAGAAGGGAGAGAGATAGAGAGTTAGAAACATCGATGAGAGAGTCATCGATCAGCTGCCTCCTGCACACCCCCCACTGGGGATATGCCCGCAACCAAGGTACATGCCCTCAACCGGAATCGAACCCGGCACCCTTCAGTCCCCAAGCCGACGCTTTATCCATTGAGCCAAACCAGTCCCGGCAGATTCCATTTTCTTAATGGCTGGGATAGTATTCTACTGTGTATATATACTACATCTTCTTTATCCTTTTATCCATTGATGGACACTAAGGTTTCTATATCTCAGCTATTGTAAATAATGCTGCAATGAATATAGGGGTGCATATGTCTTTTCAAATAACTGTGTTCATTTTTTTTTAATAATTACCCAGAAGTAGGGTTGCTGGATCATAAGAGTTCTATTTTTAATTTTTTGAGGAACCTCCATAGTGGCCGCACCATTGTGCATTATCATTAAACAATGTTGCATATATATTTACATTTCCACCACAGTGAATGAGGGTTCCCTTTTCTCAATATTCTCACCAACACTTGTTATTTCTTGTCTTTTTGACATTAGCCATTCTGGCGGGTGTCAGGTGGTATCTCATTGTGGTTTTGATTTGCATTTTCAATTCACCGTTTTAAATATAGCTATAATTACTTATACTTTGCTTATCTGTCGTTGAAATAATTTTTATTGCTTCCTCATTTTTACTCTTAGCTCAGCATTTTACTATATAGAATTTTAAGATTTCACTTCGTTCTTTCTCAATACTCAACCTCAGATCCAGACCAGTAACAACACTCTAACTACTGAGCAATACTGAGCAGGGCTGGCTGGAAAATTCTTAAATGAAGGTGTCTTCTTTCAGGCTTTTCGGGACCTTCAGAAGTACCAGAGTCAGGCTAAGCAACTCTTTCGAAAATTGAATGAGCAGTCCCCTACCAGATGTACTTTGGAAGCTGACACCATGAGTTTTCAGTGAGTATAATCCTGCTTTCTCTGTGTTCCTTTAAGTATGAAATACAGTAAATGTAAGTAACATGTGATGAGAGTAATTTTTTAAAAGTAAGATACCTTTAAAAATGTGGTCTCTTCATGAAGCCACTTCCCTAGCTCTGATTCTGCAAAACTGAGATCTCGGTTTGTTTATTCATCTTGTGCTAGTGAATGCTATACCTGTCATGCAATAATAGATAGCTTTTGCTTTAGGAGCTTCATAGAACCAGACACATTCAGATTAGTACCCTGCTCAAACATCTATAATATATATATTCAATCAGTAGCTGTGATGCACACTGACCACCAGGGGGCAGACACTCAATGCAGGAGCTGCCATGATGCACACTGGCCATTTAAAAATAAATGGTACCACTACTCTGTGGAGTCCTAGGATGCCTTAGGAGTGCGGCAAGGGTGGGGTGAGGGACCTGTAGACTCCTAATTAAAGTAAAGAACGTATATTTGTTTTCTGAATGTAATTTTTGCTGAAATAAAGACTACAATGGCTAAAACACATTTGAAAACCACTGAGTAGCCTAATCTCTTTCCAAGAATATCTCAGACATGTAATCGTTACCAGACAGGGGTCTGGCCCTGAGCGGGTCTGCCTAGGGGCAGGCTGGTAGTGTGTGGGTTCTTGACTTCATGCAGAAAAGATTCACAACCCAAGTCCAGGCAATTTTCAGAGGACAGTTATTAAAGCTGGGGACAGTGAAACAAGGAAGGGCCTCGGATAGAAGAAGCAACGGGAGAGGGACTAGGTGGGGAAGTGAGCCTAGGCTGGGCTGCTTTGGCTCACTAATAAGTCAGAGAAAAGGGGGACAGGGTCAGGGGATTGTTGCCCATTGCCCATTGCTCCTTGGTAGCAACCCTTAGAGTTTAGGAGATCCATGCCTGAGGGGGTTGGGGGGGGGGGGTTGAGAGAGGCACACCAGGTGCTCCTTGGAGGGAGAGCATGTCCTGGGACTTACCATTTGAATGTTTTAAAGGCTGGGGGTTTATGAGAGAATTTCTATAGAATATTCATCAGTTTTATGCTGGTGCCAAAATAAGATTTATTTCCTTAACTTCATCTGTCCTTGGGTACAGTTGGGACAAATGGCATTAATTGGGTTTCTGCTATCTGTCTCCCCGATTAGGGTGATTCAGGCTATTTACCTCTGGTTGGGGAGGAGAAATTCAAACCATTTACTGTTAAGTGTCTTTGGTTTAGGGACAATAAGATTATGCGATTTATTAGATGGCTGTAAACTGCTTGTTTAACTACCTGCGTCAGTTTCTTTACTCTGCTTTCTGGGCTTAGTAGCTCATCTCAATCATAGTCCCTTCCAGAATATTGGGAAGCTCACTCCCACAAGAGGAAGCCAGCTCTGTTACTGGGCAGTTTCCAGTTGATACAGAGTACTCCTACCTTGATACCAGGGGATATTTTTAGTTCTGAGGTCATTATTTTCTATAAATAATGTTAAATTCCAACTTTTAAGTATCCATGACATTTTTTAGTTTCACTGTTTTTCTTACAGCTGGAAGGAGTTTAAAACTGTGCATACTAGTTTACCATATATAATCAAAGGATGGAGTCACAACTCTAAGATTTCAAGAAAAAGCCTTAGTTATTAGGACAGTTTAGTTGAAGAATTATATAGTGAATAGACAGTTATACTGCACATGTCTTAAGTAACTCCTTTTGGGATATACTTCTAATAACAGGGAGATGTTTGCTTTCCAATTCCAAGGATTTGTTGTTTGAAATTGGCTTTCTGACTTAGCCTCCTACGTCTTAGGTTAGAATATTTTTTTTTAAATATGTTCTATTGAGTTTTTACAGAGAGGAAGAGAGAGGGATAGAGAGTTAGAAACATCGATGAGAGAGAATCATCAATCAGCTGCCTCCTGCACACTCCCTATTGGGGATGTGTCCACAACCAAGGTACATGCCCCTGACCAGAATCGAACCCGGGACCCTTCAGTCTGCAGGCCGACACTCTATCCACTTAGCCAAACCGGTTTTGGCAGGTTAGAATATTTTTGAAAAGCTTATATGGCACTGAAAGTCTGCTTCACATTGTTAGAGGAATTGTTACTGTACAAACAACTTTTCTCTTACTTTTTTGTTTCTCTCCAGTTACATTATTGAACACGGAGTGTGTTACTTGGTTTTGAGTGAAGCTAACTTCCCTAAGAAGTTGGCTTTTGCCTTTCTAGAAGATTTACACTCAGAGTTTGATGAACAGTATGGAAAGAAGGTGCCCACTGTGTCTAGACCTTATTGCTTTATTGAGTTCGGTAAGTTTTTGTTCCTCGCCTCTCTATCAAGGGAGCAAAGAATGTGGAAAAGCAATTTGTTACACTGATGATTTTCACATAATTTTACTGACGTTTTGGATTCTACCGTTTTCTTTCATTCCACTTCTTTTTTGTCCTTTTAAATGAATGGGGCTTCCTTCTAATAAGTAATTTTCGCTAGTCTTTTGATCTTTTCCCCATAGAACTTGTTGCCCTTTGCCCTTTTTGGTTACTTGGTTTGATTCTTCATTAAGGTCAAGTCTGCTTAATTGGTGTATAATAGCTGAGTTCTTTTCCCAAGCAGACACAAACATACTCACAGTAAGGCTCATTTTATGGGGGTCAGAATTTGAAAATCAGCAAGATTTTTGGTGTCTTGTTTCTTTTAGAAAAATAAGGTTCTCTAATTTTAAAGAAAAGTACCAAAGGTAGATGGCATTGGGGGATAACATTTACTTCATGCTGAAGTAGTGAGTATGGTGTTGATATTTGTGTAAGAATTATAGACTGAGCACTGCTCAGCCTTGTTAAAGTGTCCGATGGCAACATCAAAGGAAATGCCCTAGTACAGCAAGAAGAGGAAGTAAGAACAAGTATGGTCAGCTTTCACTGCTGACATTTTTAGTTGAAAAAAAGAAATTGTTTTTTTTTACTATTTATATTTCTGAAATGTTTTGTTTTCTAGATGAGGTCATCTCATTTTTTTTTTTTTTTTTTTTTTAGAAATAAAGCTGAGCAAAATACTCCAGTGTTTTATAACTCTCCAAGAGCTAATTATTTTTAATGTGTGTTTTTTAATTTTACGTTTGTGGACAATAGCAGTCCAGTAAGCCAAGAAAAATGAAAGACTGCTGGTGTCACGGTCACACAGGAAATAATTGGTACACTCAGGTTAGGTGAAAGGATTATAAACAGAGACATGAATGGGCTATGGGTGAACTGCAAGGTACTGGGGTCTGTAACAGTCATTGTTACCATCCCCAGACCCAAAGGAATGAGAAAAAGAAGCAGTTTCTGGATTGGGGAAGAAGAAAATGTATAGAGAAGGCCAACTCCAGTGTTAGTTGGTGAAGGGACGTTGCCAACCCAAGGTGACTTTCCAGGGAGGAGCTAGAGGATTAAATACCCTGATGTCACTGCTTGCTCTTCTTTCTTACTCTTGAGGCTCCCCCTTTGGCTCAAAGCTATGTCAGTATGATATATATATATTTTTTTTCCTTAGCATGGATTATTGATAGTGTCCATGTAGGTCAACTTCCCAAGGCAAAAACAGGGTGCAGAATAGTGGAGAGGAGATCAAAAGAGGCAAATGAGGTATCCAGCACAAATAGCTTAAGATTTTTGTCAAATGTTGAGAATGTCATCTTTAATAATAAGTCATTCTTCTATAGTTCTGAGAAATAGAGACATAACCTAAACATAAATGAAGCTGCCATTTTATAGTGGTTATTTGGGAAAACTCCCTAATAACATGTCTGCCTTACCCAAAGTTTACGAACAGAGTGGAATTGGGATGAACGTTAAAGAAAATATTCTAAGACTTTTTTCTTTTCAACTTTTTAATGATAGAGTGACTCTTTTGCTATATTAGGCTGTAGAAATGCTAGATTGTTGCCAGTCTTCTTTTTTTAAGGGAATGTGTCAAGTAATGAAACTGTAAGAGTCCTCAGAATACAGTTGGAAAATGTCTGCTTTCAGGAAAGGCTTACTGTAGTGAGTCTTAATTTCTCTAAGGATCCTGAAAGTAGGTACTTCTAATTTGCACTTCGAAGGTGTGCAAAGGACATTTCTCCTGCATGGTCATCTCATTATATCTTTACAATTTATAAATAAAGAAATCAAAACTCCCCTTCTGATACTCATGCAATAGCCTGGTTAAGCATGGATAGCAGCAATCCAGCACTAAACTCAGAACTCCCTAATCCCTGTTTCAGTATTTTAATGGACATGAAAGAAGTCCTTCATGGTCATTGCTCTCCATCATTCTAGAGACCTACATCCAGAAAACCAAGAAGCTGTACACTGACAGTCGTGCTCGGAGAAACTTGGGCTCCATTAACACTGAATTGCAAGACGTGCAGAGGCTCATGGTGGCCAATATCGAAGAAGTGTTACAACGAGGAGAGGCCCTCTCAGGTAGTAGCTAAAAGCCATCCGAGTCTTACGAAGAGGTGGTTCTCGTTCCAGAGGCAAGGATAGCTTATATTAGTGTAACTCGCATGCTGTCAGAGTCTCTGGAGCACTGTTGTTAAGACTTCATCTCTCAGAAACAGATGACATATAGAGCTTCCAATATGATATTTTTTTCTTAGCACGATGAGATTTGTTGAGTTGAAACAGTAAGGGTCTCTCATTCCGTATCAGAAGCAATTACTATTTCCAAAGTTTAGTAAGTATTTACAGAAACACTTACATAAATGAGCGGAAATGAGAAGAATGGGAGGAAATTGTCGATTGCTGTGGTTTCCTGAGTAGCCACTTGGGGAGGTTTTACTGCCGTCAGATTAAATGTTATATAATTCTCTGCTGAAAACTTTAATAACTCTGAATGTAATATAAGATTTAGTTTGGTCTCAACTTACTTTTCATTCATTCAGTCGTTATTATTGTGTACTTGTAATGTGCAGAAGCATTGCGTTTGCTATACTGGGAGGTAAGGAGATTACAAACTCCTCTCCTTCTCCCTAGTTACAAACATTCTGACTCAGTCAGGTCATCCTGGACCTGTCCTTTAAATCTAGATAGGAGCTACCTCTATGAAGAAGCCTTTGCTACCCTGGCCAGTGTGGCTCTGTTGATTGCGTGTCGACCCATGCACCAAGAGGTTGCTGCTTAAATTCTCGGTCAGGGCGCAGGCTCTATCCCCAGTATGAGGTGTGGCAAAGGCAGCCTCTCATCAATGTTTCTCCCTCTCCCTTTCTCTCTCCCTCTAAAATCAGTTCAAACATAATTAAATAAATAAGCCTTTTCTGATCCTTCTAGTCCATATCTCATTAAATTCTTTAAAGCACTTAGCTACACATGGTGTTTTTTAGCACTTAAAGGGGTGTTTGTGTATTTGTGTGTATGTAGTTATTTAGGTAAACTTCCTGAAATATATATTTGGTATTAATAAATATATTAAGTATAAATTTATTAAGTATAAATATATTATTAATACAAAATATATATTTCAGGAAGTTTACCTAAATAACTACATACAATACTTATACTTAATATATTTATTAATACCAAATGTATATTTAATGTTTAAATGTTACTTAAGTGTTTAAATGTTACCTAAGTGTTTAATGTGGACATGTACTCTCTAAAAGTGCTTATGTTTTATGTCTATTTCATATATTTTACGTCTCTCATAGTAAAGATTGCAAGTAGATGTCTTAGGAATATTTCTTGAATTTAACCTTTCTACATATTCATGAATAAATTTTGTTATTACATATTGCAAATTTTAACCTTTGTGTTCCTAGGAAGCAGTTGTCCAAGCATACAGCTTGACTCTCTTTAAAATTCTAATTTTAAGTGAGTCTGTGTATATTTTCATCATAATAGACTTACAGTTTCTACTTGTGATTAAGTAGACCACAGGAACTTTTTTAAAATCCAAAATACATATATTGGTGAATTCATAAAAAATGTAAAGAATTCTCTCCTACTGCTTTGCTGGCTGCTACAAAGCTGGGATGCTGATTGAAAAAGAAGTACATTTATACCCTGAAGTAACTTCACCTAATTGGGAAAATAAGTAACATTATCAGAAATGTATAGATGGTATTAGAAACAAACATCAGAGGAACACTTTGTGCTAGACAAGATGGTAGGAGGACTACATATATTTTATTAATTCTTTAGAGTAATCCTAGGTGAAGTGGGAGGTGTCAAACCAGTTTTATAGATAAAGAATCAGAGACTCAGAAAGGTTGAGTAGCTTTCTAAAAGCCACACTGCTTTTTCATTGTATGTTAGTTTTAAATAGACATATAGACGAGAGTTATATGTGGTGGTTTGGTATAGTGCCACTCCTTTTGGTTAAATGTAAACTGAGCAGCAAAGATTCTTGAAATTTGATACATCAGGAAGGAGTAAAGAGTGGTATTTTAAGAGGAAGAAAAACCATTTCTGTATGGAGCATATTTGAAGGACAATAAAAAAAAAAATAAGCCTACCTCATATTATATTTTCTATCTCTTTAAGCTTCTTAATAATAAGAATCCATCTTTTATGCCTTCTCTAATTTTTAAAGTTGTATAGCAAGTCTACTTTGCATTTAAGACCCAAGAATAGTTCCTGTGAGTTCTTTCAGCAAGATCAACTTATGACCTTTGTTACTGCCTAAATATACCTATTTCTCTTAAGTCATAGGTTTTGTCTTTTCATTCAAAGGTGTCACTGTAAATTTCAAAAATATAGGAATCAAAAACATGTTTTGGCCATCATTGTATCCTCTGTCTAGCACTTCACATGGTGTCTTCACATGTTTGCTAAACAACTTCTCCAAGTGGTAGCTTTGTCTTAATGATATGTGCTTCTAAATGTTCTGATGCAGAGGAATTCACTTAACTATTACTTATTTCATACTTGTTCCTCTGCCAGTTATTCTCAGCAGATTTAGATTCATTTAGCAAATATTTATTTATTGCGCACTGACTATATATGCCAGACTCTGTCCTAGTTATAAGGGATATAGCAAAATAAACACAATAGTTAAAAACCTCTGTCTAGTGAGTTGTACATTCTAGTAGACTGACTAGAAAGATTCCTTGCATCATTGTCATGGTTATTTCTCATCCTGTAACTTCTTCTTTTTACATGAATAGGTGTTTTTCTTACAGAACAAGTTGATAATTTAGAAGTAGCTGTCATGCCTGTGCTATTAAGTAATGCCACATTTCTCAATCAAAACAGTCTCTATTAGGCAACTCCAAATACTCCAGAAGCATTCTCTGAGAAAGAACAAACATTCAGATTGCAAAATAGTTTTTCAAAAACTCAAAGAAGTAAAAAGTTTGATCAGAATTCACTTATGTCAAATTGAGAATTTGTATTTATTATTAAAATATGCCATGTATTTTAGTCTAGTCTAGCTTTTGTCTATCTGGCTATTTCTCTTAATTGCTCAGTTAATAATCCTATCTAATAAAAGAGTAATATCCAGATTGACCATCACTCCAACACACAATATGGCTGCCCCCATGTGGTCAAAGATCCTGTCCCCAAGTGAACACAAGATGACTATCACAAGATGGCCAGCAGGGGAGGGCAGTTCAAGGCAACCAGACCTGTAAGGGAGGGCAGTTGGAGGCGATCAACCCTGCAGGGGAGGGCAGTTAAGGGTGACTAGGCCAGCAGAGGAGGGAAGTTGGGGGCAAACAGGTTGGCAGGGGAGCAGTTAGACATCATTCAGGCTGGCATGGGAATGGTTAGGGGATGATCAGGCTGGCAGGCAGAAGCGGTTAGGGGCAATCAAGAAGGCAAGCAGGAGAGCAGTTGGGAGGCTGCAGTCCTGGACTCTGAGAGGAATGTCCAACTGCCCGTTTAGGAGCAGTTAGGGGCAATTAGGAAGGCAGGCAGGCAAGCAGTTGGGAGCCAACAGTCCTAGATTATGAGAGGGATGTCCCAGATTGGAGAGGGTGTAGGTTGGTCTGAGGGACATAACCCTCGTGCACAAATTTTGTGCACTGGGCCCCTACTTATAAGAAGATAATGACATTACAAATGCCATTTACTTGTAGGGAAAAGAAATGTTGCAAAATATTCTAAAAGGCTTAATTTAGTAGATATTGGTGGTTTCCTAGCACCTATATTAGTCTACAGTGTGGAGAATCTTAGACATTTGGCAGCATTCATCATTGAGATATAGCTTTTATTCACTGTCTTGTTCATTGGATTTCCTGGTTATCTGAGTGTTATTTTACATGGATTATTAATTTTTAAAATATGAGGAAATATAATTTAGACCATTGAAAGATTATGGAGATGCTTAATGTTGGCCAATATTTCTCAGATGTTTACTATAAGCAGGCATTGTGCTCACTTCACAGGCATTTGCGTGTACGCATAAGCCTATGATATAGTTTCTGTTATCCCCAGTACGTAGATGATGAAACCGGGGCTTTCGTGAGGCCGAGTTACATGGCTGATGCTTGTGAAATCTGACCAAAGAGTCAGAGGCCAGTGCCTGCACTCCTAACCACTTTACTATGCAGCCTCAAGAATTTGAACATTACTTGGTCTGATAGTTTTTAAATCACTGTAGAGTTTTCAGTGCTTCAGGATCATGAATTAATCAGAACAGGTTACTTTTCCCTTAAAATAAAAGTGATCATTTAAGCATTGTGGTGGTTTGGTATAGTGCCACTCCTTTTGGTTATTTTTATGACTTCATACTTTTGGTAAAATACTTCCATGTACTAATTAGTGTTTTCCTCTCTTCCTCTTTGACAGCATTGGATTCAAAGGCTAACAATTTGTCCAGTCTGTCTAAGAAATACCGCCAAGACGCGAAGTACTTGAACATGCGGTCCACTTACGCCAAACTCGCCGCAGTGGCCGTGTTTTTCATCATGTTGATAGTGTATGTGCGGTTCTGGTGGCTGTGAAGTGGTGAAGCGGTCACTGGCAAGGGAGAGCCTAGACCCCGGCAGGTGTGTGTTTTCAGGAAGCTGAGCTCACAGAGATGTGTGTTAGAATCCAAGCGGGACTTCTGCCTTTAAGGACTTTGCAAGAAAAGACAAATCCTGAAAATGAAAGGTCACACCTCATTGAATGAAGCTTAACCCCATGTGGAAAGTCTCTTTTGGGGGCAGAGGCTTTCTCAGGGTGCTAAGCTGTCCATGTTAGGGAACAGTAGATTGTTTTATTTGGGGTATTTTTTTTCCCCTCCCGGTGTTTTACATTTTTAAAACAGCACTGATTGGGGCATTTATTCTTTAACGGAGCCATCAGTGAGATTTAACTAAACCAACCTGTGCTAGCAACAGGCTGAAATTCCTTCAGAGAAGGCAGGCCTCTGGGAAGTGTTTTGACTCTATCTGATCGACATTCCTTTTGTTGGTGACATTTGTGATTTTCAGTAATCTGAGTTTTTGATGGCCTTTTAAATAAGACTCCAGTGTGTGAAGGTTAATTGCTGTGCAGCAAAGATCTTGTCTGTTGGCCCCTGTAGGAAGTTAACCTTTGTTATTTTCCTTTTATATTTTGCTTATTGCACAATTGCTTTAGGGTTCAACGAATTATATTAAGATGCCTTGAAATTCTATTATAGCACTCCTTGATTAAGAAGCTAAAATGTTTTCTGTCATTTATTCCTTTAAAAAAAAAAACAAATTAGTTTGGGACCTGCTTAATTTTATTTTGCAATGTCTGCTTTATATGAAGAGTGAGGATAGCGTACCTGTAGCCAGAGGCCCCTGACTATAGCTTTGTCCTGCCCCGTTCTCATTGTCTCCACTACAGTCTCCCCCACTCTCTCCCTCTTGTCACCGTTTGCTGATATTCTGTGCCCAATAGTTTCATGTCCCATAGGCATCTTCTCAGGACAGTCTCAAATTTCAAAATGGAGAATGTTCAGCTGTGTGGTTAATTAAATTTAAAGTATTGCTGAGTGGCTACTCAAACTACTAAACACATTTATCTGAGAAAGTCTGAGGGCACCTCACACCTGCTTAAGTTTATATAAATCCTCTGAGAATGACCTAGAGCTAGGCCACTCATTTATAGTGTCTTCTAGTAACAAACAAAAGAACATACGATTTTTCCCCTTTTTGCTCAGGGATAATGGGGATTTTCTTTTACCTTCTGAGATTGAATTTTCTAAATGGGAGAATAGGTCTTTTAAATATTGTCACAAGGGCCTGCAATATAACCTATTACTCCTACAAATACGCAAATATTTCTTTAAATTGTAGAGGAAAATGAGCCATCTTCTTACCTCTTAACATCTTCGGAAAGAATTTTAACCCAGTGAGCAATTTTATAACTGTGGGCTCGTTTTATAACTGTGGGGCTCATCAAAGCTACTGTCTTGATTCCTGATAGAGGAATTCTTTTTCCTTATGACAGGCGAGGAGAAATGCTTATTTTACTCCTGATAACTTACAGAACTATAATAAATTTTTTTTTCCATTTTGGACCTACATCTGCCAATCGGAGTTTTGTGCATGAAATATGGAGTTACTTTTTATAGAGAATAAGTGCTTTCAAGTCTCCAGAGGGCTCGTCCCTCGGTAATGATGTTGGTAATAAAGCCTGTGAAAGGCTGGGAACTAAGTAGAGGCACCAGAGCATTTGGTGCTTCTGTAGGAATGGAGAGTGGCAGCTCGCTGTTGAGAGTTGCATGCTGTAACCAAATGGTCAGCAGTGAAATAAATACTTCTAGAATGTTCCCTTCAGTGTGAAGTGTTGTTATCTAGTTTATTTATGTCCCTATACCTTTCTAGCTATTTTTCTACATATACTCAGTGGGTTAAAAAATGACAAGGGGGATTATGGAATGACAAAGGAATAAGAAAATGGTTTAAGATTATGATGGTAGAAAAAGAACAAGACTGTCATAATATGGCTCCTACTTCTGCTCTTTATTAGAGGTGGTGGGAAGGGAAGATCTGACTAGATGAAATGTATCAGCAACCAAACAGCCTTCTAGAATAGAATGTGTCATTAGTGTGCAGTGTTATGGAGGCCACATTGAGAATAGATACCCAATTTACTAGGGAAAGGAGTGTAGTAAGAAAAGGAAAATGGGGTATTCTAGACAGAGGCAATGGCTTATACAGAGTCATGAGTTAAAAAAAAAAAAATAAGGCACATTTTGGGGACTGTAATTAGTTTGGTTCCATGGACCTGGTAGGGTAAGTGTAGGCAATGAGGACTTAAGGACAAAGAGCTAGACTGGCCCACTGTCAGAAAGGGGCAAGAGATGGCATCAGGTTTGTAGTTTCAAATGACCATTCTGGCCATAGTGTAAAAGATATATCAGAGAGGGATAAGCCTAGAACTAGGAAGATGAAACTGAGGCGCCACCCAAGTTGGAATGAGAGCTAGGAGACACATTTTAAATGATTTTCAAGAAAGGAGTTATCCCAGGTACCAAATGATAACTCATATTTACATAATGCTTTCTTAGTTGGGAGTGCATTGAATTCTCCCATTGACATTTTGAAGTAAGTTCTGTTCACACAACATGAATAAAGACACTTTTTACTAAGGATACCACTCTGAGGCATAGAGAGTTAATTTGTACAAAACTGGAGAGCTAGATAGTGATGGGGCAAAGCTTTGGAAGAGCATGAGGTTGAACCCAGTTAAAAACCTCGGACATGCAGGAAGTGGAAGTCAAAGGTAAGTACCCAGAACCTTGAAAACTGTCCAGCTCTGGTGAATCGGAAGAATTCTATAGTTTGAACTAACTTTGTGGATGAGATGCATTCTTGAAAGGTGGTATACCAAAAAAAAATTCTATTAATATTTTTCTGTAGTACATTTAGGGATCTGGTTGTACAGAAAAAAAATTTGGCCCTAGCTGGTTTGGCTCAATGGATAGACCATTGGCCTGTGGACTGAAGGGTCTCTGGTTCAATTCCAGTCAAGGGCACATGCCATGTTGTTGGCTCGATCCCCATACTGGGGCATGCAGGAGGCAGTGGTCAATGATTCTCTCTCATTGTTGATGTTTCTATCTCTCTCTTCCTTCTCCCTTCCTCTATGAAGTCGATAAAACTGTATTTTTTAAAAAAATGTTGTTCTCAGTTCCACAAAATCACATTTAAAGATCTTTTATATTTTCTACTTTTATCAGTAGGACATCTAGCAAAAACAAGTTAAAACAAATGGATAATTCTGCATCCACAGTATTTAATAATAAATGCATAAGAAAACATCTCGTAATTTAATTTCCCATTCCACTGCGGGGTTTTCATGACTAAAGGCTTGACTGTTGGTGGCCACACAGTTAGGGCTTTTGGTTAGTGTATTTAGCAAAACTGACTGAATCCTCTCCTGGTTGTCTTCAAACAGCTCAGCAAAAAGGCAAAGAGCAGTGGGTGTATAGGTGTACTAGTATAAATACAAATTGACTGATTGGACCAAATAGCTTGTACAGTTAAAGGTCCCGAAAGAAAATTTGTAGCATGTGTTGCATAGTTTGATATAGAATGAGCAAATTGAATCTCACACCCTATTCATTATGGAGGTTGATCCAAAAGTAGAAAACTATCTTGAGCAATTGAATCATTCAGTTATAAGTGCTGTAACTGAATCCATTTTAGATGAGAAAATTTGCTGGAAATTTGGCTTTCATATACTAATCAAGACATCTAATGTTTTCCCCATAACCATTTTCCAGTTTGCCCAAGGCTGCATAGCATGTTGAAGTACTTAGATTCAATCCCCATACTCCTAGACACCTACCCAGTAGTTTACTACTCCTGAATAATCACGCAGACATGTTCATTTTAAGCATTTGGCATTTCACTTTGTCCTTCAATTTACTTAATTTGCTTTTTTGGGGAGAAGGTATATCTTTTTAAACAATTTAATTGTATTATTCCATTCTCTTTTTAGGTGTGTTTTTTTGTTGTTGTTTTGTTTGTCATTTCTCCTGTATTCCTTTTTAATGATTTTTGCTCTTGAGTTCTTATTTGCCCTTTCTCATCCTTGGTTTGATTTTTTCATAGATCTCATTGTCAACTTAACATTTTTCCACATCTGATTCACTTAAGGATTAGCAAAATGATTTTTTTAAATATATTTTATTGATTTTTTTACAGAGAGAAAGGGAGAGTGATAAAGAGCTAGAAACATTGATGATGAGAGAAACATCAACCAGTTGCCTCCTGCACAACCCCCACTGAGGATGTGCCTGCAATCAATGTACATGCCCTTGACTGGAATCGAATCTGGGACCTTTCAGTCCGCAGACCGACGCTCTATCCACTGAGCCAAACCGGTTTGGGCAGCAAAATGATTTTTTAAAATCCTCACTGGAAGATGTGTTTATTGATTTTTAGAGAAAGAGAAAAACATCAATTGGTTGCCTCCAGTACAAGCCCCGGCCTATGTATGTGCCTTGGTCAGGAATCGAACCCAAAATTTTTTGGTATACAGGACAGTGCTCCAACCAACTGAGCCACCTGGCCAGTGTACAAAATGATTTTTTAAAATTATTTTTAAAACTAAGTCTTCCCTTCCTAATCCTTTTGCCCGTTTTCTCTTTTTCTCACTTCTTTTATCCCTTTGCATTTTACATAATTTCCCTAGATATTTCTACTGAGGAGTCAATGTAATTCTTCAACTTTGCTCTATAAGCAAAAGCTTCAAAATTAACTGTTATAGCCCGGTGGGCATGGCTCAATAGTTGAGCATCGAATTATGAGGTCACAGTTCAGATCCAGGTCAGGGCATAAGCTTGGGTTGTGGGCTCGATCCCCAATAGAGGTGTGCAGGAGATCAATGATTCTCATCATTGATGTTTCCATCTCTCCTCCCATCCTCTTTGAAATCATTAAAAATACATTTTTTTTAAAAATCAGCTGTTATTTATTTTTAGATCTTCATTCATCTAACCTTTTATTGATTTTATAATATACTATGTTATCTTATTAATGCAGATATGCCTCTGCTTTAAGGAGTCCCTTTATGAAAAATAAAATTGAAACATTACAAGAAGTCTTTAAGAACAAGCTCCACTAGCTTGCCTTTGTAATTATACTTCAGCTCTTACTTGTATTGTTGGTAACTCTGAAGTATACCTGTCTACCCTTGAGATTCAGACCCAGATTTGTTGCTGCTTATTGGAGAGTTGTGTTGTGTTACTATTCCACAAATAGTAATTGCATCTGAGGCATTTTATTACCTCCACTTCAGTATCAAAGGAAAAAACCTTACTTGTGCTTCCTACTATTGGTCCTTTTTTTTTTTTTTTTTTTTTTTTTTAAGCATCACCTGCCACCCCTTTACTTGAGCAAATCATGAACTGCATTTGATGTCTGTGGTTTTGCTTTCTACCTCTCAACTGTTAAAAAAAAAAAAAAAAAAAAAAAAAAGTCTGTTTTTAATAACCACCAAAACGTTTCATGTCACTTCCTTCACTTGGCCTTTCATTAACTTTAACTTGGACTCATGCAGTAGCCTCCTTACTCCTTTCCTTACACAGGACCCTTTTTTTAAACCCAGTGCTGCCATGTGAGTAACAGAAATTTTCTTAAAAAGTTCATCACACCCTGTTTTCTATAGAATAAAAGGTCATGTACTCCAGGCTGCCTCCTACAAGCTGACTGCTTTGTACCACTCCCCACTAACCTGCCACTCCCACCACCTCTGTTGTTTGAGCCTGACCACATTCTCGGATCTAAGCACTTTACCGTGTGCCTTAGCTCAGTGGTACCTTCTCTCTAGAACAGTAGTCAGCAAACTCATTAGTCAACAGAGCGGCAAACCGCTGCCCCATGTGGCTCTTGAGCCGCAGTTTGCCGACTACTGCTCTAGAACATCCTTTCTATAAACCTTACCCCAAAGCTTTTTCCTTTCAATCGTATTAAAGCTCTGCTTATCATTCAAAGATCCAGCTCTGATATCTCCCTTGCAAAGCCTTTCTAAGGTTCTCATCTGCCTCTTCGCACCAACCTGGGGGGGATTACAGTTTCATCTTCTCATAGCAAACCTCCCAATTTCAAAGAACAGTCATTGTGTGCTTGTTTGTCTCCTGGGCTGTGTAGACCATGTGAGGTCCCTGAGGTATAGACCAATGGTTATTCGAGGTTTGAAATCCTTGCCACTCAGAGCAATGGCTGATGTTAGAGGTACTCAGCAATATTTGCAGAATGAGTGCATCGTCTTTAAAAAGTTTTCTGGAACTGGGCTGTTCTTAAGTCATGGATATGCATGTAATTTAAATAAAAGAGGAGAACGGGGGGGAAATGGCATAGGCCTACTAAGAGAATGGGGGAGAGAAGACACTAAAGAAGTCCCAAGAGAGGACCAACAGGAAGATTCTATATATAGTGAACCCCCTGGAGAAGAAGAAAGTAATATAGAAAATGAAATCAGTTCTTTAGGGCAGAAACAATTGAAAGGTAAGAGGAAGGGAGTTCAGGCATGGAGGCAAATTAGACATGAAAACACCAAGTCAAACAGACCAGCAGTTTCTGGTTGACCACGGAGCCATCATGCCTGTGGTTGCTTTTATGTTGTGTGGATAGCAGCAATTAAGCTTTTCATGACTCTTAACTCCTTGCCAATTTGTCATCTAAAAAAGTAACTCCAATGATAAATACCTTGACTAACAATGCCCTATAAAGGAAGCCATACTTGATCATGCTAGTCACAAAGCTGGTGCAAGGTTTGGATTTGACCAGCTGGTGGCAGTTTGCACCTGCCAAACTTCTCCCGCTGGTTCCCTTGCAAATAGTGCAAGTGGGCAATGAGGTGTTTTGGGCTCAGCACGCAAGGGAAGATGGAAGAGCATGTTGATTTGTATGCCTTTTGTTTGACCATTTCATTAATATGCAGAATGTGTTTGTTTGAACACTTAGAACTGTAAAATAAAAGCACTTGAACCTTCAAATTGATTTTTCTTGATTTTTTCATCTTTACACTCTACTTTTTCTTCCATCTTTCTCAAACTCAATTTTCCCCAGTAACAGAGTTGCGACTTATTATTACAAAATTCTACATGCCAAAGAATCTTAAAAAAAAAAAAAAAATATATATATATATATATATATATATATATATATATATATATATATGTTTTTAAAGTAATCATGGGGTGTAAAGTACAGCATAGGGAATATATTCAATAACTATGTATGGTGCCAGATGAGTACTAGACTGAATGTGGTGACCACTTCATAATTTATATAACTCTATAATCACTATGTTGTACACCTGAAACTAATATAATATTGTATGGTAACTGTAAGTGAAAAATAAAAAACAACAAAATGCTAAAGAACTTCTATGCAAAAGTTTAAGAAGTTCTGCTACAGACAGCCACGTGCTTGTGAGATTTCAGATATTTTTCCTACAATAACAGCATAGCCTTGCTAGAATCCTATACAAAGAAGCATATCTACTTTCACCAATGAGGTAAACGCTGCGGGACATGCTGATGAGGGACAGAGATTCACGGAAAACACTGACAAATTACTGACATCACATGCAGCAGTGTCCAAGGAGGTGAAAGGGCAGAACACACTGAACAGGGAGTCGGGAGTTTTGGCTTCCAGACCCAGCTCTCCCTCTGCCCCGGTAGGACTTTAGGTAAGTTAATTGGGCCGTAGTTTTCCATGGTTGAAAACAGGAGTGATATCTGCTCTGTCTGTTTCACTTGGACGACTGGAGGATAAGAGCAGGTAAAAAAATGCAATAATGTGTGTCAGGGTTTATGAACTTTGAAGTTATTATTATTATTATTATTATTTTATACTACTACTACTACTACTATTCTAACTTCAAGGAAACATTTGTCACCATTGCAATCTTTCTGTTTCTCTGGAAACTGACAACCCAGTTGCATAATTATTTTACTCTTGATGGAGCTGTATTCTGGTCTGATTATACCGCAGTATTTAGGATCCCTTAGCACCATCCATTTCTCAGGTCATGACTTAATGTTTCCAGAAGAGGGAAGCAAAACTCCAACTCAGAAGCTCTTTGTCCCGTCCTCAGAGGGTCTAACCTTAGTGTTTCCTTAGAGGAAAATAACTATACTGCAGAGAGAACACCCTTTATTTTTCACTCTTAATTCTTTTAAAAAATTTTTCAATTACAGCTTTCATTCAATATCATGTATTAATTTCATGGGTACAGCATAGTGGTTAGACAATAATATACTTTACAAAGTGTTCCCCCCAATATTTCCAGGACCCAACGAGCACCATACATAGTTATTTACAATACTAGTGGCCCAGTGCATGGATTCATGCACATTGAAAGGAATTTAATTAGAAGAAGTATTTTAATATCACTATTTGCCCTTTATAACAGAAGTGTCAGGTGAAAATTAGTAAAATGTATATGAAAATAACATAAATTGATTAATAAACAATAACACGAGAGAAACATCAATTTGTTGTTCCACTTATTTATGCATTCATTGGTTGATTCTTGTATGTGCCCTGATCAGAGATTGAACCCACAACTTTGGCATATCAGGACGATACTCTAACCAACTGAGCTACCCAGTCAGGGCCCCTTATGCTTTTGTACTGTGCAAGAATACCAGCGGCTAACATCTGAACTGTTTCCATAGCATATGAAGCACTCTCATACACATTTCAAGTGAGGTTGACAGCCACTATCCCCATCTTACAGACAAATTTCCTCATCTGTGATCAGAATAGCTGCTCTTTGCTTAAAGAGAAAAGTGCAGGGAGCTACCCCCTATGTCAAGAGAATTTCCGGGGGTAGGTACTTGTCCTCTCTTAATAAATGACAAAAGAGCCAATTCTGAATCTGATGCTTTTTCTGTCTGCTTTCACTACAATCAGAGATGGGGTAGGAGGGCATTCCATTACAGTTTTTCCCTTCTACATATGTCACTTCATTTCTGGCTCAGCTCATTTGGAAAAAAAAAAAAAAAAAGACTGTTTCCCATTCCATCCTCCTTACCGCCACCCCCCAGCCAGAGTCATCTTTCCATTCCAGCCAAACCTCTTCCTGTTCTTAAGAATTGCATCACATTCTTGGCGCAATGTAGACCAACACCCCCACATTGGCACAGGGGAGTGTGCGGGACTTTATTGGTTGAAAGTTCCTGTCTAGTGAGCACAGAGAAAGTCACTCACTTCTGGACTTCCAGCCCTGGCTGAATCTGTTTCTGGAAAAATTATATATTGGATGTTTGTTTGTTTGTTTGTTTGTTTGTTTGTTTGTTTGTAAATCCCCTTCACTTTAATTTGGCAGTTAAAAAGCAGTCATGGGGCTGTAAAGCACACCATACGGAATATAATAAAAAATATTACAATAACTATGAATGGTGTCCATTGGGTACTGGAAATATTGAGATCACTGTAGAAAGTATATGATTATCTATCCTGTTCACCTGAAACCAATACAAAATAAAGTTGAAAGGAAAATAAAGAAAAACCCATCCACTTTAGCCCAATCCTGGAATGGGCAAGACTTTACAAAGTAGGATCAGTGTGGAAGGACAATTGAAGAAGAGGAATGAGCTGCCTACCCTTGCTGTTTCTAATTCTTCACTTTCTCTTTTCAACATGGTTTAATCTGGAATTGGCTCCCGCTATGTTGGAGGGGCTTTTGTTAAGGACAGTAATGCTCCCTGTGTCACTAACTGCAATGGACACATCCGTCTTTATCTTACTTGACTCTAAGTATCTGACACTATTGACCTCCTTGAAAGACCTACAGTCTTCCTTTGGTTTCCACGCACTATTTTTTTCCTGCCTTCATCATTCTTTCAAGCTCCTCCTTCTCCATGAACTTCTTAAGGGTTGGCATTCCTGACCTGCGTCAGTGTCCTTTCTCTCTATGCATTCTCTGAGAAATCTCATCCCCTTCAAGGACTGGTTGAGGTCTGTATGCCAATGACTTCTAGATCTCTACCTCCCTTGAACTTGACACATTCAATAGCCTTCTAGAACTTCTCCAATTGGAAATTGCTAAAACCATATTCATTCACTCAAACTATCTCTCCAATGCTCCTTATCCAAATACATGCCACAACACCCTCAGTCTGTAGTCCAACGCTGTCCACTGAGCCAAACCAGTCATTGCCCGGTATTCTTATTTTTAATTAATTCTTTTTAAATTGGTAAGCCTGCTTTTGAATGAAATGTATTGGGGTAACGTTGGTTAATAGCGTTGTATACATTTCAGGTGTACAACTTTATAATACAACATCTGCATATACTCTATTGTCTGCTCTCAACCTGAAGTCTAGTCTCCTTCCATCACCACATATTTGACGCCCCTTTACCCTCTTTGTTCTCTCCCCAACCCTCTTGAATTCAATTAATTATTGAATTAACCTTATCTCATCCTATATATTAGTTCTTACTTCTTTGAAAAATATACTCAAGGGTATGTTCTAATGAAAATGTATTTGAATGAATTGACTTAGGCCAGGATTGACTTTAACCAGGGCCGAATGTGAGCTGGAACATACTTTTCAAATTACTGGAATGTTTTCTTGATTGTTATTCATCATGACATTTTATCTTTGGAATTTTTTTTCTCCTTTCCAGCTGGCTTATACCACTTTCCTTTCTTACCTCTCCTCCCTTCCCCCTCTGGTTGGCCTATGCTTGCCCCTCAGTGGATCCAGCGTGCACACAGTGGTGGCTGCCGTGGGGCCACAGCTAAACAGAACAGCTCAGGCTGCAACAGGAAAGCGCTGAATCGAAAGCAAAGGGGAGGAAGCACAAACCCATACCCACCACAAAGCTGCTGAGTGCCCAGCGTGGCCCACGCCGCACCCTCAGATGAGGAGCCTTGTGAAGGAGGCAGAAGCCACAGGCTTTCATAAATTATCAGCACAGCCTGCTCTCCACTTCCCCTGAGCCAGCCTTCCTGGGTCACCATGAACTATACCAGGTGCTGGCCTAAAAAGGGGGGTGATGACAGAAAAAGCCACCAGAGGCGTAAAGTTTGGGGAAAAGGCTACTGAATGGAATGACCGTGGATCATTCATCTCAAACTCCCCACCTGGTCCAGCTCCACGAACAGGAAGATCCTGGTCTTGAGAGTGTTTCTAAGAGCTCCCTCCTTGGAGTGATCCCCAGGTGAAGGCTCCCCAGTCCCTGAAGATACCTTTGCTACCTGCCTGACAGGCTGCTTCTAGCAGTGCCCCAAACTTTTTAATGTTATAACTGCAGATAAAGGCCCTGTGAGATATAAGAGAACTTTATAGTCACATCTCACATTAAGTTACAAATGAGTATTTTCTGATTCTTTTCCTGACTTTAGTGGAGGGAGAAGGAGTAAGGAAAGAGAAGGGAGCATCATAGATATATTTCCCCTACTTTGTCATTTTGCCCTGGCCTCCCTTGACTCTTTACATTTGTTATCAAAGGAGCTACCAATTCTCCAGCAGCCTGGGTTACAGAGAAGGGATGGAAAGTGTGGGAAAACATGTAGGAACTCTGTCTAGATGTTAAGCACTGGCTCATCACCTCAGAGTCCGAGGAG